TTCACACGCCACTCTAATCATGCCCACTTAAGTCCCCATTACTTGCTTCATTATTATTCTTATTTTAAAACCCCCATCCCATCCTTTTCCTCCTTCACTTTGTAACCCCCATATTCAACACACCACCACTCTCTCTTCCCTTTTCTCTTGATTCGGCCAAAGCAGCAGCAGCACCAAGGGGAATTCTGGTAGTAGACGCGGAGGAGGGAGAGAGGGAAGTGCACGTGTGAAGCAGGCCGTTCGTTTGTTCGTCGGTTGTCCGTTCATTAGCACCATTCGTTCATCTCGTTCCATCAATCCCTCCATTTAGAGGTGAGTAATTGATCCTCTAGTTCTAGAACATTTAGTTATAATCTATGTCGTTATATTCATAGGAATATCGTACGCAACCTACGTAGAATCTATGCATGTTCGTAGGTTAACCATCAAACATACGAGAGTCCGTGTTATCAAGTTACGAACTCGTTAGTACAGGCATTTTGAAACTCTGTATATTCATGGAATACTTAACATGTAATCATAAACGTTCGTTTCAAAAGAAAAATCCCAACGTATTGATGATAACCAAACAGTCAAAATGGGAATCAGCGTGCCTTGATAATCGATTTACAGAACGGAATAATCGACTATCAGGTCACGCTGAACTCCTCAGTTGATCCAGCATAGTGTGACAATCGATTATCACATAAGTGGTAATCGATTATCAGACCCTGCGGATTCTTGAGTTAGAGCTGGTTCACTTGACAATCGATTATCACAGAGCAATAGTCGATTGTCCGGTCTCTCTGAACTTAGGACTTTTCTGATAAACCAACTTGACAATCGATTGTCATAGGGTGACAATCGATTATCACAGTCTGCAGGACTTTGGGGACAGAAGCTGCACAGCATGATAATCGATTATCAACAGCAGATAATCGATTATCAGCCAGTTCTGAACCCAGGGCCATCATGTTAAACAAATCATAATCAAGCACATATGTAAGAATTGAATTTAACTCTTTTCTTTAATCAATGCATTCATTCCATCATGTTCGTTCTAGACGGATGTTCTAGGTTTCCATCATATGCATACCGCTGTAGGGAGGACTTCAAGCGCCTACTACAGTGGGCCCGTCCAGGAACCTTTGGGGACCAGCGGGTTTTCATCATGTTGGGCTTGTGTACGTACATAGTAGTCAGGTTACGGCTACTACCCGGTTTTGCTAGTCCACTCGCGATGTTTTCATCGTGC